CCCTTTACATTCTAGTAGTATTGTTCCATCCAAGCTGTGTTTCTTTTTAATAGAAAAGAAAGCTAAGACATTGCCTGCAATGGAAAACAGTAGATTTATGAAGCATAAGAACTAAAGAGAAAAGAAGTGGTGTTTTCCACTAAATTAGAAGCAGAATGAGTGTGATGTAATCAGAGGGTCATTCAGCTTTGAGGACAGAACAGAACTTGAGTAAGTAATCAGGCTACCATTGAGTCGCTGGTTTCACCAAACAAGTTGACTGAGGGAGCAGGAAGCTGCCTCTCAGAATGATCTGGACACTTGTCCGTCAAGTTTCAGATTGATTGAAGGTAAAATTAGGGGAGACAATATAGCAAGAATCTAAAAATTGATAACTGTTATGGAAATGAAAAAAAGGCCAGATACATCCGTTAGATAAATAGAGTTGAAAATCATGAGTGATGGTGATGGACCATGAGGTGTGGGTAGGTAGAGACTTCATTTTAAGTGTTAAGCAATAAATGCGCCAAATTTGAGTCAAATGGTCCCTGCGTTCTGTGGAATGTAAAAAGAAAGTTAAGACACAGCCCCCTTTGTAGGTGAGAGGGCCACATCTGCAGGTCTCGGGATGAGAAGGATATGTGGGCTTGTGAGTGTTTTTGTCTGGGTTAGAAACACTGTGGGCAAGATGGAGGTGCTAGATGGACCTTCGGGAGTGGGACCAGACTGCTGGTCATGCCTGGTGAGTAGGGCACCTGAGGAATAACAGAAAGATTGAGGGTAAAATGTCCTCAGGCCTCAAGAACTGGTCCTGTGATGAAGGATGAGCCGTTGTGCTTGGGTCCCTGTTACTACAGTTCTGGTGTCTGGTTCTAGAAAAGAACCAACCCCAAGACAACTGCAGTCCCACTGAAGAGAGAACAAGGAGCAGGACTGTCTCTTGTGGCTCCTTATGTGTCCTCTGCTAAAATGTTTTGAGGATAATGGATATTCGTGCTTTGTTCTTGGTGCTGGCCCAGCCTGCTTAGCCTCAGGACACCTGTTCCTAACTTATAAAATGAGAATAATAAGATCTAAGCTCATGGCCCAGTTGTGGCCCAAATGAGATAATGTCTTCTGTGTAAATTATCAACCTGCTTAGCACATCGTAGGTTCTCCCTAAATGATGGATTTTCTTCCCCCTTCCCTAAATAGTTCACAGGTTGAAAACCCCAGCACTGTGGGCTGTTTTTGTGTGGGGGTTTGCTATAGTGTGTCATCGGGATTCAACACACTCACTTTTGGAAAGGGGACTGCGCTTCTAGTCTTTCCAGGTAAACGCTGGCCCGGCTCCGTGCTTGTTTCCCCCTTGTCTGGTTGAAGGCTCCTCCATGTACTTCCTGTGTGTTATCCTCATGGATTGCGTCGTCCTTGTTTTGTCAGTTGAGACCTATGAACTTGAGGGTGAGCTTCCATGGGCTCTCCATTTAAACAGGAAAATAACAGAAGAGTTGAAAATCACCATAGAACTAATTCACTAGATTGCAATGGAGGGCAGTCTACCATCCTAAATGATTAAGACAAACATAGTTTCTCCAGAAATAGCCCAACTTCCTGTGGAAAGCCCAGTCTGTGGTTTCCCCGCCAGGCATCCTTCACATTCCTCTTACCCTCTGTATCCCAAATTTAGCTGTGCAACCTTAGACCATCTGCAACGTAGACAGCTCCAGAAATCTCTTACTTCTTAAGGATATTCAGCTATTAAAAGCAAAAGATCTTTGAGAGCAAAAACTCTTTTATGTCCCAGGAAGTATCTCATATGGTCCTTTTACAAAGTAAGGTGCTTGATAAACGCTTGTTTAATTCAAATAAAGCAGCCAAAGAAATCAAGTTTCTAGACCAAAGGGAAGAAGAGAATAAAGTAAATGACACAGGACATTCAAGCCTGTGGTGAAAAGAGTAAAACACTAGATTGAGAATCAAACAGCTCTATATTTTAGTCTTTGCTACCAACCAGCAATGTCATTTAGAGCATATCTCTTGCCTCTGAGTCTCATATTTCTTATCTATTAAAGGGGAAGTGGGCTTGAATGACCTCTGGTCCCACAGCACCAACAGTCTATAAATTTATCCCCATTTGTGCTAGAAGGGGGCTTTTTCTCATATAAATAAGTCAAATAGCTATGCTAAATCTTTCATTTTATTTTATTTTGGTACTGGAGATTGAACCCAGGGGTGCTTAACAACTGAGCCACATCCCTATCCCTATTTTCTGTATTTTTAGAGACAGGGCCTTGCTAAGTTGCTTAGGGCCTCACTAAATTGCTGAGGCTGTCTGAACTTACGATCCTCCTGCCTCAGCCTCCCAAGTCACTGGGATTACAGGTGTGTGCCACTGTACTCAGCTATGTTAAATCTTGAGTCTTTCCTTTTCTTTTCTTTTCTTTTTGACTGAGTCTTGAGTATTTTCTAATTGGTTAGGGTAAACCAGCAGAAGGGGTGCGGTGGCAGAAGGGAGTTTATTGTGAGGCATCCAACACTGTGGGATTCGCGGGAGGAGTAAACAAACTCACCTTTGGGACAGGCACCCAGCTAAAAGTGGAACTGTGTAAGTATGAAATTCCAAAATAACTACAAAATGTGTTCTACTAATGGTAAACAGGAGAACAGGATATGTCACCTTTGTCCTTATGTCTTATTTTTAATTAGCTGTAATCTAGTGCAGAAGCATTAAGAATGGTGACCCCAAGATAAATTAGTGAAAGGCTTCGATGACTGTAGGGCATATTTCCTTTGGGGTAGAATTTAGCAAAATTTAGCAACCATTTGAGAATTGAGGCTGACAGAAGCTCTGTCTCACATCAGAGTTTTTAACACTAGTATTGAGCTACATGGAGTCCGATAGAGGAAAGAAACTAGGAGAGCAGAAAATTGCATGGCCACCATCTAATAGACCCTTTCTACTTCCACTGCCACTGATTCCAAGGAACACTCAGGGAGAAGACCCAAAGTCTTTTTATCCATGCCCTAAATAAGCCAGACCATATTCACTCCGGAGACAAAGCATCCCCTTCACTAAACATTGTCCAAGAAGAGACAGTGAAGTGCAGAAACAGAACCTCAGGACTTCACCACAGGCATTTGGCCCCAACTGACTTTGTGATATTGAACAAGTCATTCCCCTCTATGCACCTCAGACTCCAGTAGAAGAGGTTGAAACACTCAAAACTGTGTGTATGGCATGTGGCTATGAGGCTAGATGCATGACATACAGTATTATTTCTCTTCAAACAACTCTAAGATAAGGAGCAATATCTTATTTTACAGAAGCAGAAACTGAGGTGGCTCAGAGAAGTTATTGTCCAAGATTCTATCAGGTAGAAAGGGCTAAATTCAAACCTGGGTCTATCTGTATGATCTCAAAGCCCCTTATTTTCTGTTATAGGATGACACAAGCTCTTTGCCAAGGTTTATCTAGAAATGAGAGATGAGCCGAGCCAGGTGCAATGGCACATACCTGTAATCCCAGCAGCTTGGGAGGCTGAGGCAGGAGGATAACAAATTCAAAACCAACCTCAGCAATTTAGCAAGGCCCTAATAAGCAACTTAGTGAGACCCTGTCTCAAAATAAAAAATAAAAATGGCTGGGGATATGGCTCAGTGGATAAGCCCTCCTGGGTTTAATCCCCAGTATCAAAAAAAGAAAAAAGAAATGAGAGAGAATGCCAGTCACAGTGAGTAAGGACATAGAATTTATCTTTTCCTTTCTTAGATAGTGCCATGAGGTAAAGACGGAATTTTAGGAAATTTTTATGTGGATGCTTCAGATGTCTGAAGGATTCTCTTCCCCTCTGAATGACAGATAGAGCTGCTGGGAACATTTACCCAGATGGGAGAGGAGAGGAAATGATGGCAGTCACTCCCATGTCCTGACTGTCCCTTTCTCCTGAGGTTCCTTGTACATTCCCCAGGCAGACCAGCCATCAATGTAACAGACTGCAAGTACCTGACCCACTAGTGAGTTACAGAAAAACACAATGTGGGGACACTTGGGACACTGCTGCATCAGAGAACTTCAGCTCTGAGAAGAGCTTAAGATTCATCTAAATTCAGCACTCTTTATTTTCCCAATATGGAAATTAAGACCCAGAGGGGTTGATTGAATTGCCCAAAATTATAAAGTCAAGGAGAACTAGGGCTGGGACTAGAACCTGGGAAGTCTGGTCCTGGGGCTGTATTCTGTAACTACTGTTCAATGGTGTAAGTAGGTAGGTGTAAGACCTGTTCATGGGTTTCACTAGGAGTGTAAAAATGTGTTCTTATTAGCTCTTATCACTCAAACCTTACTATGGGCTTCCTGGACCTGCTCCCCAGACATGTTATACAAATGGAAGGTGACGGAAATGGCCCATTTTGACACAGGACAAATCACTGTGGGAAATACTGGAGGCTACAAATTTATCTTTGGGACAGGAACAAGACTATTAGTTGGTGCAAGTAAGTCCTATAAAATAACCTGACTTATGTTATAGTTAAGGAACATTCATTTTGATTTTCTTTTTTCTTTTTTATTTTTATTTATTTATTTATTTTTTTTTTGTGAGTTGTGGGGACATGGCTTTGCTATTTAAGTAAGAAGAAATGATGGTATTAATAATGTCACATTATACAGTGTCCATGAACATTCCTGCAAGAAACATGTAACAAACAATAGGTGTGAATAGACAAAACTCTCTGGGCCCTGTCTAGAACTGAAACTGTAATTATGACTTTTCAACCTGAATATTAATAACGTGTTTTATATAACTCACTGTATGCAAAGCAGAATCTCCTGTTGGGCTCTGATGTATTTCTTGTCATCTTCTAGTGGTCTTAGAAATGAAGCTAAATAGTAAAAATGTATGTCTCCTACCACTTTTGTTTATGCACGCAGACATAGGAGCATACTTATTAACAAACTTGAGTGTGAACATAGGATTCCCAGGCTGTGGCCCAGCTTCGGGTGCCATTTTGTATAGAGTTATGTCAGAGTGTGAACACAGGCTTTCAGCAGCTCAAGTTTGGAACTGGCACACAAGTTTTGATCAGCCCAAGTAAGTTGGAACTCCAGAAATTTGTAGCCCCCAATATTAGGTTTACTTTTATATATTTCTATTTATAGCTGCTACTCTGGTCTGTGATAGATTATTATGATTATTATTTTGTTATTAATCACAACAATGCTACTAACTTGGGGTGCACATTTTCTGCTATAGTATTCTTTTGACCCTTTAGGGAGAATTGCTATCAAGATACTGGGAGAAAAATGCTTGTTTCCAGTCAAGTTTTCTAATTTGTTCATTTGGTTCCCACCTCTCTGCTGAGGGTCAACATGAGTCTCACAATGTTTTGGCTTTTATTCTGCCTCCTTATTATCTCTCTTAGAAATGCTTCCTTGGTTTTTCCTTGCCTAAGCAGTTAGATTTTGCAGTTCACATTTACCCAGAATATACTTAGCTTTTAGCCTCTCCCAAAACTGGCCTCCTTGTCTCAATAATTATGCACAGTAAAGTTAGTTCAAGTCAGTAAATAATTATTGAGTATCATCAAAAGCCAGAGACCATAGCTGGTTTAAAAAGAAAGAAACAAAGAAGAAAAAGAAACCTAAGATCTGGCCTCGGATCTCAGGAACTTCCAGTCTTATCAGAAAAACAAAACACTCGTAATAACAAGTCTAATAACAATTTATATGTGCTTGTGCTGAGATGGGGTTGGAAGGGCAGAGAGACAGGACAGGATGGCAGTGGACACTCCAAATTCCTTGACAGTGAACCCGTGATTCCACCCCTCCCACCCGCCTCCCCCGCATCATGTTTCTGGGAAAGGATTTGAATCTGTTCTGTACTGAGATGTCTGACTTTCTTGAGGACAAAAGGCCTTACTGGCGGTTAGCATCCTTGAGTGAGATGAGGACAGAAAGAAGAGTGAGTCAGGCGTGAGTCACACAGGACTTTTGCTCAGCCCCAGAGAAGGCACAGTGACTGAGTCAGGCCCAGGCGTGTTTTTAGCATGTGCCCCGGTGCAGTGGGTTGGCAATTCTCTTGTTCCTACTCTTCCTGACAGAGTGAAAAAATGCATTTTTGCATATGTCCCCAAGAAAATGGGACTTCTTCTCAATCATGGCAGATGAAGTGGGAAAATGCCCGCCTGCTCCCTGGTATCTTTAGAAATACTCACACCCACCAGGACCATGTAGGAGGCAGTGTGTTTCACTAAGTTTTGTAAAGACTGCTTTTCTCAGAGGAGGAATAGCCAGAGGCAATGTTTGTTGGTGGCTGTGATACAGAAAATGAAGGCCATAGGTAGCCCTGGGGGCTGGTGCTGTTCACCTAGGCAGGCTCCTTCGGGTCCTTATGCCACCCATTACGGGGAACACTTCAGGATTGGCCATTCTTGGGTTCAGCTTTTAGAGCTACTGCAAAGGGTGTGTGTCCCCCACTATAGGGTGGGCAAAAACAGCACCTTTTGTAATGCTTGCACTCGGTATGTATCTGGAAGCAACTCATTTTCAGTAAGAGAACCCAAGTGGTGGTCATAAGTAAGTGAGCCAGGATCTTCCTATACAAATAGCCCTCCACTCCACCCTTCCCTGGCCCTACCCTGGTGCTGGACAATTTCTTATCATATTTCCATGGCAGGGGGGAAAAGGATGTATCAATGCCACACCCAAGTTCTTAGCCAAACATAGTTCCAAATCTTTGCCTACCTGTGGCTTCTCCTCCCTGACCCCTGCTCCTGGCATCTCAGCTGACGACACTCCCATTCTCTATATAAGGCTTCCCCTGCCCTTCCCAGAGGCTAGGTTTCAAATTGAACTGTGGACCACAAAGTGAGAGCTAGGAGGGACTTGAGGGACTTCTTGCTCACATGGCAGGGGCAGCCTGAGGTCTAGGTTTACACCTCTGTGCAAGGCCAAGCAAGGGGCTGTGCAGAGCAGTGTTAGGTCCCCAGTCCCTCGCTTCCGCCCTAAGTGCAGGGGAACCACACAGCTCTTTGCTAATAATGTGACCCTCAAACCCGGTGTGAAATAACCTGAGAGCTGGTAGCACACAAGGACTGGGGACTGAGGGCTGAGTTCCCATCTCAGCTCAGGTCTGCGGCCCAGGCTGTGATTTCCGTGAGCCTCAGTTTTTGCATCTCTGAAAGAGGCAGCATGAGTTCTATTTCCGCTCATCTTTCAAAAGTTTTATTGTTGTGAATTTCTTCTCTGTAGACCCAGTTTTCATAGAAACTAAGTCCAGTCTGACTGGAAATAAAGGAATTGAAAGGTTTGGGGTGCCTTGGCCTATTTCCAGTGGTAAAGAGGAAAGGGTTAAAGTATAAATCTCAAGGATCTGAATCCTGCCTGGAGTCTTGTGTCAGACAGGATTATGCAGGACTCACACCCCTGGACCTCCCTGAGGAAGAGGGCTAAAATAGGAAATATCAGGAGCTGTGGAAAGGGAAAAATGAGAACAAGGAAGAGAGCTTAACAAAACATCAAAAGAAACCCTGGGCCCCATCCTCCCAGCACCTTTAGAGGCCACTGAATCTATTCAACAACAGATAAATAGAGTCAGCCCCTCAGGGTGTCCATCCCAACAGACAGGGTGGTGGGGTTGGTACTGGAGTGTTGGATGAAGATGTGGGCTTCTCTGCTGGTGGGAAAGTGGTGTTTTCTCAGGGTAACTGGGGCTGAGGTCTTCTCCAGTCCCTTCCACTTGGCTCCCATCCCTGCCCGGGAGGCACAGGACTCAGGGCTCCAAGTTCAGCAGGGGAGGGTTTCCAACATCAGTGGGAGTGTGGCTAGTGCTTCCCAAGATGGCTGTCCCAACACCACTGGGTCAGTGGTAAAGGGAGGCCACAGGAGACAGGTTTTATCAAAGGCTTTCCTCACTGTGCGCATCTGGAGGAAACTACAAACTGACCTTTGGAAGAGGGACCAGCCTCATTGTGCATCCCTGTGAGTGTTGTAGAAATGCTGGGGGAAACTTTGAATTCAGACATATCACGGGAGGAAATGGATGTAGTGAGGGAGTGGCGTCGACTGCTCCCTCATTAAAGGAGTTCTTTGTTGAAGAGGAGTGACAGTGAGTCGGGTCTAATGAGGGCTGGACTGAGGGTCTTGCTTTCAGAGGATAAGTACTCAAATTCTGAGAAAAGAGAACTCACCCTTGCTAGGTTTCTGAAATAGGATTTTTCTTCTTGGTAGCCAAGGGGTCTGCCCTGTCCCTCTTCCCTGCTGCCACCTCCCCTCAGCTCCATGAGATGTCTCCCCTAGATTAGAGCATCCCAGCCTGGATGCTAGGAACTCTGGGGTGCTGGAGTGGGTAGGAGCAGGAATGGGTCTCCTCTGTACGAAGCTTTGCTGGGAACCATGATCTTGTGAAAAACTGTCTACTGTACAGCTGAGGTGCCATTGATACACTCTCTCCTTCTGAGTTCTCATCCCGTGCTGACATCCATCTGAATGATAGATCATTTTTTGATATGCCCATTTTCCAGATAAGGAAGCATGCTTGGGACAAGTAACTTGCCCAAGGTCACACAGCTAGGAATGACAGAGCCAGAGTTTAGCTCACACCTCTTGGACTCTAGGCCTTCTTATTAACCGCACCCCTCATGCTGTCACAGTCTATCCTACAAGCTCTGAAGGAAGACCCACATCTTGAAGGCACGGTAGTCTTTCTTCAGAGAGTGCAGGGGCTTAGTCCACAGTTTGCCCAATGTGAACCTTCTGGTCATAGTGACCATGGCACAGTGACTCAACATTTCTTAAGACATCAGAAAAGTCATGCATTGGATTGGCAAGATGCAGGTATGGAGGAAAGGGAAGTAGAAACTTAGGAGACTGTTTATTAGGTATCAACGCACAGGAGAAGAAATTTATCATCAAAATCATGGAAAGGGCTATTTAAAAGCTCTGTTCCCATGGGCTGGGTTTGTAGCTCAGTGGTAGAGCACTCGGCTAGAACGTGTGAGGCACTGGATTCGATCCTCAGCACCACATAAAAATAAATAAACAAAATAAAGGTATTGTGTCTATCTACAACTAAAAAAGAGTAAAAAAAAAAAAAGCTCTGTTCCCTAAGAGGGAAGGTTATAAATGTGAAATGTGACAGGGGTCATGGGCAGCTGCCCAGGTGGCTGAGGGCATGTATTTGTACTGCGTTGTACCGTAGTGTAGACTCAAGTGGTCGGAAACTCACTTTTGGGAGTGGAACGAGACTCCAGGTGCATCCAAGTAAGTGCCTGACCTTAGGCCCTGGCCAAAGACTCCAAAAGTGCCTCCTCTGCTCTCTCAGGTGCTGAAGCAGTACCTCCTGAACTAATTTTTCGTTTTTCTTTATGAGGTTTGAAAGTTTTGAAATTTGAATTCCCAGCATCTGGCTTAATAGTTAATTTTCTAATGGAAATTGGCCTTTTCATCATTATAGAAACAGACTCTTTCATGGTTTCTAGATCTTTATCAGAAAGTAAACTGTGACTGATTATGTCAAAAGATTTATTTTTCTTTTTCTTACCAGTTAATTTCACAAAAGGTAAAATTAAACTTCTCAAAGACATTGGGCATTGGATACATTCCATGCCCAACTGAGAGATACAGAAAGAACTTAAAACCTAAATAATGTCATTAAAAACAATAAAAAGTTTGAAAAATGAGACCATACAGAAATTAAAGGAGAAATGCAATAGTCCTAACAAGAGAAACCTTGCTTTCTAGCACAACTGCATTAAAGGTGAATTAAAATATTTTGAGGGTTTATGCATTCAACAAGTATTTATTGAGCAACTATTATATCCCAAGTACAGTGTTAGATGTAGAAGAAGGAAAGAAAGGGAAGTGGTAAGAGAAGAGGAGCAGAAGGAAATGTGCAGTTTCTACCTCCAGGATCTCAAAGTATAAACCCAGTATCACTCAGGTGTAGTTGAGGTACTCACAAGTTGTGATGGGAATACAAAGGAAGGCACACCTGACTTCCTATCATAATTGCCTAGTACCTCTATGCACCCTCTACTGCCCCATAAGATCTGGGAAGGCAGAACCCTCTCCTTCATTCTCATATCTCTGTAA